TTTACAAATTTTGCCAAAAATCTACCAATTTTCAAGGTTCCCGTAGGTATAGAGAGGTGACTCTTTTTCAAAAAACTCATGGTTTGGAGCTAAAATCCTTAAACCTATCAAAAGAGATTCTATGGCCTCAAAAGCCCTTTTGTTTCTTTCCTTCCAAAACATAAAAAGTAGGAAGAGGGGTAAGGCCAATGTGCTAGTTATAAGATTTGTCCCCTTCAATGCCTCTCCATGCCTAGACTCCTCTTTAATCAAATCAGCCATTACCCAATCAACCTCTAGAAGACTATAAGCCACAGATCAACGTTGATATGGAGAGGACACTAAAGAAGAAGGTGATCGGTCGATTCCGCATCACTCTTGCATAAGCAACAGCCATTCACAATAAATTTCTCCCTTTTAAGAGATTGTCTATGGTTAGGATGCATCCCCTTTCAACTGACACAATCAGAGAAAGAATATAACCAAAACCACAATCCAAAACCAAGGAAGAGTCTGAACTCAACCTGAATGTATTGATCACCCAAAATATTTTCCTCACAGCAAGAGGAGCATTTTACATGTATACACCAAATTGGATAATCTAGAAAAGAAAAAAAAATACATAAAAAGTTTAAACAGTACGCCACTAACATATCATTGGATTAAAAGAAAATAAATTCATTAAGAGGAAAATACCAGAAAGAAATAAACCACTAAAAGAATAAAGTACCTTTCCTAAAAGAAGTTCTCCCGAAGGAAGAGAGATCACCAAAGGCGGCGCAATTTTTCCAGATGGAAACACTTCAGACAGTGCACCATTCGTGGCATTCAGAATCACATACTCTTTTCTAATAGCTAAGCATATATTTTCACCGCACCAGGACATGGACTTCACTGTATCAGGAACACCATATTCTTTCACCTCCACAAACCCTCGTCCCCCTAATAATCATAAATGAGTTCCACCAAAAAATATTACTGCATTAGCTGCCCATTAACCGAAAAAGGACATCATGAATCACAATATAAAAAGCGCAGCTGATTTTCCCTCAAAGAGCACATCAAAGCTATCACCGCGAAAAGGAGTAATCTTGTGAGCAAGTTAACTCCAATCAAAATTAGTAACGCATAAAAACAATTGGAGTAAATCAAGTTAATTGTCATGAGTAATCAGGACTGGATTACAGAAATTACCGTCGTGCCTGAAAATGCAAACTCTTCTTTGCCGTGCGAAGCACAGGAACCCTCGCCGATCATCCCATGAATACACATTAGCGCCTTTGGCTTTAGTTATTACAGCAATTGTCTCCAAATTGGGAAGCCTGTGAAATGCTATTGATTCAGAGAGTGACAAAAGCAGCTCTCTAGATGTCAACACCTCCATTGACAGGAGCGGCTTCTTTGAGAACCCGACCACGGTTCTCTCCAACACGTACGGCTCCTTTCGCAGCTCGAGGGATTGAGCATGGTGATCAGCCGGTGGGGATCGGTCGGATCCTGATGAATCAGGGCAGTAGATTCGGAGAGTGGCGTCGGCACAGCCAAGGAGAAGCTTTGAGCCATAAGATTCAACTGCATCGATCCTGGTCGGACAGTCTCTGAGAAGTTCGAAGGAATCGTAGGCACTGTGTACCATCGTCGTTTAGTTTTGATATTCTTGTTCGGGCAATTTTATATATATCTACATATATACATATAAAAGTAAAAAGCAAAATTTGCGGCATCCCGTTTTCTTATTTTTTTTAAATAATTTTTTAAATTTTAAATGAGTTTTAAATCTAAATTTAATATCTTATAATATATGTATAATTAAGTGTTACTGATCATATCATTTGAAATCATCTAAAATCTCAGATGTTTTTCTAACTAATC